ATGTGTAATATCATCAATTTAATATATACATGTGACCAAGGTCACGGCACGTGGTCGAAGTAATGAGATCAGAACTTGATCAAAACCTGATCAAAATAATCAGACTATCACGTGATTGAAACATGAATGTACCACAACAAGTGATACCGACGGACGTGGATCAACACGTGATTTAAGAGAGTAGATCAGTTAATGTGATCAAACTGAAATCACTATATGATCAAAACGAGGGAGCCACAAGGTGGTGGAAAAAATTATAGTGCCATGGTACCAACAAAACAATAACCCCAAAGTGATAGTAAATATTTGAAGTACGCGCGCGTTTATTTGTTACAGCAATCACGAAGTTCAGAACAGCCGCCTTAACGAAACACAATAGATCCTGAAAGTAAACTATGTCTAATCTGTAGAATTCATTTAAGGCCGATCACATATGTGAGCGGGACAAACAACCCAATTGCCTGGACAACCACAATTGTATTTCATGAAAACAAACCATTCATGATAAAACCTGTAGGAAGCAGAAGTGAGGGAAATGCAAGTGTGATTTGCTATGTGTTAATTACTAAGGTGAACAATACTGTCCGTCACTCAGTCAAGAAATGAAAACTAAATGACTAAACTATAGCATAATGAAAGTAGTATAGGTTTACACTTAATAAGCTGTATTTATAATTTATTAAATATATTAAACTTTCAAATAGTAATACATATATTAAATGTCTCTTATCATAACTGAATATATCAGTTACACACCATATAGTTAGAAGAATACTAGTAGCCGTGTGGCGTCATAAATATATACTTATTATCTCTAAGATTAGGAATATATATAAAATGCTACCATGTTGTGTTAAATTATAACACATAGTTTATACATATAAATTCATTCATAAGTGAGTGATAAGATAAAGGATGTATACATACCCTGTGGGTGACACCCGGGTTGTGCCTATAAACCCACATCATATAGGATTATGGCATTCCTATAAAAAGTAAATAACATAACTATCATGCCTGAATACATACATACATACATACATACATACATACATACATACATACATACATACATACATACATACATACATACATACATATATACATACATACATACATACATCATGACAACCATTTCCTTAAATTATAGAAAACCAACTTCTAATTCAATCCTTACATTCAAAACTCCCAATCAAATCATGCTCTCACACATACTTACATGTTAAACACTTATACTAATAAAATAGAAGATATCTTGATTATTTGATATCATAGGGAAGTATTTACAATATTTACATTATTTATAACATATTTAAATGATAAGTTAGAATTCTATTTAGGAAAGATAATGTAAATAACTAACCTGAACTATATGTAGTCCATGTCCTGTCTGTGCAGAGTTATAAGCAGAGTAAATAAAAAGTGTGCAAATGTCAGGGAGGAACGCTGTAGTTACATAATGTTAATCAGCTAGGAAGCTGAAAGCTATTGTATTGACAAGCTAGAGAGTTGGTGACAAAGGGACAGGAATAGACTAACCTGTCCACCCTTCAATAAAATTGGACCAACCGCTTGGACTCTTAACCCAAGCATATACATTTTGAACTACAACTAATGAAGATGTATACAACTACTTGAAATGAAAAGAGCTAAAACTATATTCCTAAAAACTATATATACAATATCCTGTTACATTATTCATTTAAAATGTAGTTTATGTCCTATAACGATAACGATATGGTGAGTTTTATACCCTCATACCACGAACTGTCCTTTTAACTGCCAAAACAAGCCTTAAAATCTTTAAAAAGTGCTGCCAAATTGTATATTCCTACGTCATCTATACTTTATTGTAATTGTTTAATGTTTTATCTAATACCCTTAGTTCATAGTTTGTTTTGTTGCATGCTTAATAGTCTCTCGTAATTCCGCATGGAATGGCTCAACTTGCTTTTCAGAATGTAGGTGTATAATTTTATGAATCAAATATTAAGGTGAGATTTTAACAAAATATCTGTCTGTCTGGATACGCCTAGGTTATTTTATTGTTGCCCTCGAAGGGATTCCTGGTTAGAATTGGTCCCGAACAACCTATGTTGGTCATGTCTGTTGACTCGTCGCTACCAACATCAACCACTGGATTGTCGTATCAATTGATTATTGAGAAAAATAACAATGTGTTTTCGATAACAAATAAGTGTGTAGTGTATCATTTAACAAGAGCATTTATCCATGACATATACACTAAACTACGGTTATAACGAACTCAGAGGGACTACTAACTTTAGTTCGTTATAACCGTAATTCGTTATAAGCATATATACAGCATAACTACAGCAAATAGTCGGGACTAAAACGTTAGTTCGTTATATCCGTCAGTTCGTTATAAGCTTGTTCGTTATAACTGTAGTTTACTGTACTTATTTCATATAAAGACATGCATGTAAGTATGAAAACTAGATAACCAAAAAACGGCACTTTATCTACTGCAGCATATGAACCATTGTTTATACAAACAAAAGAACAACATGGATTCCGTAGATCGTGTTGATGTAGTAAACAACCTCTTAGATACACTTCACAAGGACGTTTTGTATATGCATCTTCACGTGTTCACGGTTTCCAAAACAATATGTTACCTAAGTTTCCGTTTACTTACTTCTACTGGGGGCACGGGTAGCCCAGTCGTCTAAGGCGCCGCGATTCGCTGTGCAGAGTTGCGTCCCTTGGACACGCCAGAAACCTATGATTGTGGGCTCGAATCCCGGTTCGCCCCGATTATGTTTCTAGGTTTGTCAGCACCATACCCGTGCTCGTGGGTTTCACCGAAGTGGTAAACACCTGAGACCTGCATCACTTCGGGCTTTCCTCCAACATTAAGCTGACACGCCGTGATACAACTGGAATGCTGTTAAAAGCGGCGTTAAACCCAACTCACTCACTCACTCACTACTTACTTCAACTGAATTCTGAAACATGAATTTATCTGGATTTTATTTTCTTAGCCAATGGCATCACCATCTCCCGAGTGCTCTCGCTGTTGATATTGTTAGGATATAAACGCCCCAAACTATTGAAAACGGCCACTCGTTAGCACAATAACAGTTAAATGACCCTATTGAAACTCTAGCACCAATGAGAACAAATTAAATATCAACACCGATAATGAAAATGTTTTTATGTCATTTTGTGACCTATGCAATTCTTCAAAACACAGTCAGAATCTGAATCTAAATCTAAATTCCAGTTCACCAGATACGCATAAAGCTGATCTGTTCGTATCACATCTTCAACACATACTTACTCATGTCTATTGTAACTTCAATTGTTAAACGTGTGGGACATACATTGAACACATACACAACAGAAACACGGTTAAAACCTGCATGTACATTCTTACATGTTTAAATGTGTTTTAAAGATAATGTAACACGAGTACTGGTTCTTTTGCTAAATCTTGAAATAAATAAATATTAAAGACTAATATGAATACCAAATAAGAATTCTCGTTACGTTGATTTCAGATAACAGTGGAAAAACACCCCGGGTATAAAGGATATATCTGGACTACATAAGCGTTAAAAAGATAACGGAATAGCCACAAGGTCTACAACTTCTGATGTCTATATACTAGGTCTAATGAGTCATCAAAAAAAGTCATAGGGATTATTTCAATATTCTTTTCCACTGACACATAAGGTTGATACCTACCCCCTGAGCACCATCAACTCATCAAAGACCCCAATCAGTCCTAATCCTTTTGTTTATACTACTGGCTTCACCAAAGTTGTTAACCTTCCCTCACCCCTTTTTGTAACTACATCCCAATCTGCTCAGGTAGACTCCTACCTGTATACATGCTTGACGACCATTCCCTGTACATCACATGCTTGATAACGTGTTAGAACCTACACCGAAACGTCGATCCATATATCTTATAACTTCTAAATGCCTCTTAAAGAAGTTGAAAGATTTGTCTAATTGGCATTTGAGTTTGGTGGATTGAAGGACAGACATTTGAAATAATTATTGATTCTTTAAAACGGATCTTATTCTTATGGTCTCCATACAACATTACCCCTTTTCTTGGCAGAGTTGCGTCCTCATTTGACATGCGAGAATCCTATGATTGCGGTTCGAATACCTAATTCGCCCTGGTCATGTTTTCTAAGTTTGGCAGCACAGTATCCGTGCTCTTGGATTTCACTGAAGTTGTATATGTTAGGGAATCAGGATGTTCAGGTTGGCTCGCTCCAAAGGTTGTCAAGACAGAATTTCGGATCTGCTTCAATTAATTAGGAATCCCATTGCTTACTTCGCCAAGCGTTCACATTTTGGTACTTGAAGAAAACCTTGAAGTTAATTTGATACAAACTCGTTAAAACCACTAGATATATGTCAAGAAAGTATTCATCTTTATTGTTTAATATATGTTATGAGTTCTTTGTCCATGACAAGCAATGATAAACAGTCATACCTTAATTTCTATTGTTTCGTAGTAAGTATCCCTGCTCTCCATTTGTTGTTACTTCCAACCAAACGATTACTGAAAAAATAATAATTGGTTTGTTTTCAACTCCCTATTCAACGTTTTTACTATAAACAGTGACAAATGTATAGTAGATAAAAGTATCGCCTAAAATAATTTTAATAAACAATCTACATGTACATACAACGCCTTGTTCTCTGTCAAAACGTAATAAAATATGGTATGTATATTATTGTAGACTTTAGCATTAAAGAAGATAATATTTGTTTTGGTACATGAACATAAAGAAAAAAAGACATTTAGAGATTTCCAACCGTACCTTCTTCCCTAATACCTAATGAGGCGGAATGAGATTAACTACGTGACCTATTAAGGCCCATACCATATTAGGAAAATACCTGGCTAATGCTGACATAGAGAAATGTTATTTAGAGGCGTCCAATAACGCTTAATGAGGCACACCCTTAAAAGTCACGTGATCAGTCAAGGAATACAAAATCACCGTGTCTGACCAAGCTGACTATAGCTGTTCGTAGGCTTCAGACAACCATCACGATGAAGCTCGTCTTGTCCATCCTCTTGTTGGTATCAGCGGTCAGTTGTGAAGTTACCGACGGTCCGTGGAGCGCCGTTGTCTGCAACAAACCATTTGAAGTTATATCACGAGAAATCAATGACCTTGCTCTCTACATCAGATGTCGATTCTACATCCCTCGAATGGAAAGGTGTCCAAGAGATCAGATCTTCAGCCTGCGCAAAAAGTACTGCGTGTATCCAGAGAGGCTGGTAAACTCATGTAACCGTGAGTATTCATTGTATATACTTGCATCGTGTCTTTACTGTAGTGCTTCCCCTAAAACCCACCAGGAGGAGGTGAGGTGAAATGGGGTTTAACGTCGTAGCTCTTTATCCTCAGTGTCACGACTTGATAACAAGCAACGCTTATTGGATATTGTCATGAAATATATCAGTTTGAAAAACCGTATCCTGCATTGTTTCTAACGAAACATAATGTTATGAATCCACAATCCGATATTGATTATGGCAATAGTTACTTATAATATCACTATAATTCCATCTCCTGCTTCTAATTATCTTAGGATATGAGTCAGTCCTTGCACCCAACAGTGTGGCACTGCCCGTCAATGGTTTAGCACTATGCTCATGCAACATCCTGAGTCGTAAGGAATAATTGTATTTGCACTGAATCTCCAATACCGCCTCTGTGTTGTAGTATCTCATGCGTCTGCCCGGAGAGCGGGAGGTCTGTAGTTTGGTTGCCAGGCAGCATCATCAGAAAACAAACCGTTAGATATGGTACTTGCTGTTATCCTGCCTGGCGCTCGGCTTTCGGAGGATAAAGATAGGACTGGTCTGATAAGAGTCAGTACGCTAAATGAGTTAGTGAGTGAGTGAGTGAGTTGGGTTTAACGCCGCTTTTAACAGTATTCGAGTTATATCACGGCGTGTCAGCTTAATGTGGGAGGAAAGCCCGAAGTGATGCAGGTCTCAGACGTTTACCACTTCGGTGAAACCCACGAGCACGGGTATGCTGCTGACAAACCTTGAAACATAATCGGGGCGAACCGGGATTCGAACCCACAATCATAGGTTTCTGGCGTGTCCAAGGGACGCAACTCTGCACAGCGAATCGCAGCGCCTTAGACGACTGGGCCACCCGTGACCCCAGTACGCTAAATAGGGTGTCTATGTTAACACTGTGGCATTGTACCGTATTGATTAAGAAACATACGCATATCATGTGCAGAGTCGTATCACCTGCACTAGTGAGTGAGTGAGTTAAAATTTAACGTCGCATCGGCATTATCTCAGTCATATAGCGAGGAGACCAAGTTAATATATTCACAATTTAGTCATTAATGCAAAGTTTTGCTTAAGACAAGTTGTAAAACATATTTGAGCATACTATATTTAGAAACAATTCATGAAACATATTTGAGCATGACAATATTATACATTCAGTTTTAAAACACGGGCTATAGGCCACCAGTAACCAAAGCTAGGCCACCTCGCTGGGGACCATGGGGACTTACAGTACCTCTGCTTCCTTCATGATACCCCAGCAGGATTTACGTCATCACTTTAGCCACTGATGGTTGAACACAATGCCAGCCAATATAAAAAAATACTCATCAATGAGTTGGCTTAAAAACACTGATTACATTGATTATGATAGGATTACGTGTCACACAGGGGGGCAATATTTTTACGGTACTTTAACCTCCTGGACAGAGCCTTCAATAATGTCAGTTAATAGTAGCATCACACCAAAGTTAAAAACAAGCATTTTATTATTCACATACATATTTACAATTTATTATAAAGACCAATTTCTTTCAAGTAATTTATGATGAGATGCCCGCTGACACGGGAAAAGAGATCTTGTAGATTTACGCTTTGATAATGTGAATCCCTTGCGATTGCAAAGTCCACATGTACACAGTCAAGCAATGTATGCTTGACGGCATCACCTGCACTACATAGTAATTCCTGTTTGTTATCTTCAAAATGTTACAGTTAGCGTTGCTTAAAAACCCTTCTGTTGTTAATAGCAAGGACATACGCCGTGTGTAATATACATCAGAAAAATATTTAAGCAACGCTAACTGTAACATGTATTTCCATGTGAATATCCTATATCTATATCCTGACGAAAATATTTGTTTTTGTTTAAATACACAATCGGAAATTGATTACGAAATAGCATATTTTGTAAATATTCCACGGCAATACGTATTTAAACTGCCCTTTTAATTGTTTCCCCTAAACCCCAACAGGAGGATTTTTCTTATACCTTCACTGTATCCGGTATCAGTGGTGTGTTAGACATTTCACACGATGCATGGAAGTTCATAATATATGAAAGAAGAAGAGGTTTATAATCTTTGACAACAAAATGAAAGTATGCACCAATGTTTGATGGTGGCTAACACTAAATAGGAAGAAATGGTTAGTCGAGTTTTTGATACGGGTATATCAGTTGTGTTTTGGACCTTACGTCGGCAGTGTTTCAGCCTTGTTTCGTTTTGATAGCGTTTGAAAAAACTTGTTTGTGGTCAAATTCTGATTTCAAGTGGGTAATATTCTATTTCCGGCTATTTAGATGGGTGAGAAAGAGAATTACCTCTCACCTTCTACAGCAACGAAATGATTGTTCACTGTCATATCATATATATTAGAATTATTCGGCTCCTCCTTACAGGGAAGAGAAATTTTGTCTCCAACAAAAGTGCCACGCCCCCTCCCCACAAATATGTAATAGTTTATCAGTTGCAGTCGCCTTGCTCGTTGCTTGTCTAAGTTGTTCTTGTAAAAGGAATACCAGCAGCACACTACCTACCTGTGATCAGGCGGGGCACGGATGGCCCATTTATCTAAGGCTCCGCAATTTTGCTGTTCAGGGTTACGCCCCGAAGTGCACCATTAACCTTTGATCATAGGTTTGAATCACAGTTTGCACTGATCATGTTTCTGGGTTTCACCAAAGTGGTAAATGTCTAAGATATATGTCACCTTGGGCGACGTCCTTGACAAGCCTGATACATATATGACTGAAATAAAATTCAATGCGACGTTCACTCACTCACTCTTGTTTTCAGCCCCCAAAATGAACAGCTATGGATAGGCCGACCACTACGCCCCAGTGACTTATGTCCAGCTGAGAATCTGTCAATATACAATTTGAAGCTGGCCGACCCAATATCTAGGAAATCCATTGTTATCTTCAGCTGCTGACGTACGACTCGTGTGTAAATAAACTATTGTTTGCCCTTCTTTTATCTTGTTGATGTTCATTTTTGTTGTTAGTGACTGTGCAGACTTACCATTGATTCCTTAATTGCATGCTGCTATACAGCACCCGGGCTGCGTCCATCTTCACAAAGCCACCTTAACTTAATTTGGTTTTAATCAAGAGATTTAGGTTGACTTGAGCCAGGGTCACAGACGTCTATGTCCCTTCCCATAGGTGCTCCAGAAACCATATGGGCACAGAGAATTCCATATATACGTCACGTGGTACTTCCAGCCTGTGAGAATCGTTCGATGACTTCCTTAAAATGCAATGTTCGGCTGTAATTGATATGAATGTAGGCAGAAAAAGGAGTTGCATTACGAATAAATAAAAGCAACAAAATCTTTTCCATATTCATAAGAATTCTCTGCCCAAATCAGAATCGATTGTACAATACCTAAGAACATGAGTGTATGAATCACTATCAACTAGTGACGATAGTAGGTGTCCGCTAAAAGGTGCACGTTTCCTACCCTACCGGTGGAACCAGTCATAAACACATGCAAAGGCAAATAAATTGTTCACTGGACTATGATTGTAGGTTCGAATTCCGGTTCGCTCCGATTATGTTTCAAGATTTGTCAGCACCATAACCTAGCTGGTGAGTTTCAACGAACTGGTAAACTTGTAACGTTAAGACGTGCGTCACTTAGTCTATTCCTTCTGTATCAGCATGACGAACTGGTAAACTTGTAACGTTATGACGTGCGTCACTTAGTGCATACCTTCTGTATCAACATGATGAACTGGTAAACTTGTAACGTTAAGACGTGCGTCACTTAGTGCATACCTTCTGTATCAACATGACGAACTGGTAAACTTGTAACGTTAAGACGTGCGTCACTTAGTGCATACCTTCTGTATCAACATGATGAACTGGTAAACTTGTAACGTTAAGACGTGCGTCACTTAGTGCATTCCTTCTGTATCAACATGACGAACTGGTAAACTTGTAACGTTAAGACGTGCGTCACTTAGTGCATACCTTCTGTATCAACATGACGAACTGGTAAACTTGTAACGTTAAGACGTGCGTCACTTAGTGCATACCTTCTGTATCAACATGACGAACTGGTAAACTTGTAACGTTAAGACGTGCGTCACTTAGTGCATACCTTCTGTATCAACATGACGAACTGGTAAACTTGTAACGTTAAGACGTGCGTCACTAAGTGCATTCCTTCTGTATCAACATGACGAACTGGTAAACTTGTAACGTTAAGACGTGCGTCACTTAGTGCATACCTTCTGTATCAACATGACGAACTGGTAAACTTGTAACGTTAAGACGTGCGTCACTAAGTGCATTCCTTCTGTATCAACATGACGAACTGGTAAACTTGTAACGTTAAGACGTGCGTCACTTAGTGCATACCTTCTGTATCAACATGACGAACTGGTAAACTTGTAACGTTAAGACGTGCGTCACTTAGTGCATACCTTCTGTATCAACATGACGAACTGGTAAACTTGTAACGTTAAGACGTGCGTCACTTAGTGCATACCTTCTGTATCAACATGACGAACTGGTAAACTTGTAACGTTAAGACGTGCGTCACTAAGTGCATTCCTTCTGTATCAACATGACGAACTGGTAAACTTGTAACGTTAAGACGTGCGTCACTTAGTGCATACCTTCTGTATCAACATGACGAACTGGTAAACTTGTAACGTTAAGACGTGCGTCACTAAGTGCATTCCTTCTGTATCAACATGACGAACTGGTAAACTTGTAACGTTAAGACGTGCGTCACTTAGTGCATTCCTTCTGTATCAACATGACACACTGTAATAAAGTAGCTGACTGGGCGCGGCTGGCGCAAACCAAACCCATTCATTTACTCAGCAGAGGTTGTATTGTGCAGGCGGATGGAACGTGCTATAATGAGCAGATGGCCATGACTGTACTGAGCAATAGACTTGGTACTCGGTGACATCTCGGTCGTGTGAACTCGTTTACGAAAATAAAATGTTATTGTCCAGACGGAAACTATGCATGCACTAGGAATATATATTACTCAAAGTTTGCTAAGGATCACGTTTTGATGCTATCAAAATATTGAAATACAACGGTAACCCATACAGGACCTCAATGTCATGATGAACGGACGGAGGCACGCACGAGGTGCTTGAGAACCTGTGTTTGGATGTATCGTGACAGAATCATTGCATATCAATATTAGAGAGCACAACATTTGCTACTGGTGATTGCAACAACTGAATGAACCTATGCCCGCTCAACTTCAAAGACAGCTTGACAGCAGATGCATAGCCATGCTTGAAACTGGGTCAACACAAGGTCATGTTGCAGACGTGTTTGGTGTTAGCCAAAGTGTGATAGCAGGGCAAAGGGATGAATCAACTACCCAGCGTAGTGAAGGTAGTCGACAGCCTTCCACAACATGGAAGGCCTGCATTGGGGAGGGCTGAAGATCACGTCAATTGGACAGAGCAGGACTGGGCTCCAGTAACCTGCACTGATGAATCGAGACACTGTTCACACTTCACAGATCGTCGTGCCCCAGTGTGATGCAGGCAAAGACTTCAGAGTTCCAACGTTGCCGAACATGAATGCTATGGAGAGGGCTAAATCATGATCTGGGGTGGGATCGGTAGGCCTGAAAGAACGGATATCTATGTCATACATCGATGCACTGTGACAGCTTTATCTAAAAAAATGTCCCAGACATATTTTGAAAAAAAATAATTATGTTTCGATCAGACGTTTGAAAACAATTATTGCCTGCCATAACAGTGACATTGTTGCAAGGTAATTTGCTTCTTAGAAAAATAAATCTGCTTTTGTAGCTGTAGCTGAAACATATCTAATCTTGATACATATTCAAGCCCCTCCAGAATATCAAATGGCCGGTACCTAAGACGACCATTGTTTGGGGCGTTACGTGTGTTGTCGTAATAACCTCTGTGGAGATTTACTTTTTCCAAGTGTGACTTCATCTCGAGTATTGGGTTTTACATTTTACTGGTAAGACCTGACGATTTGAGAAGCAAATGTATGGACTTGGGGTTTCAAACGTAAATTTTCCTAAAATCAATGTGTGTGTGTGTGTGTGTGTGTGTGTGTGTGTGAGTGTGTGTGTGTGTGTGTGTGTGTGTGTGTGTGTGTGTGTGTGTGTGTGTGTGTGTGTGTGAGTGTGTGAATGTGTGTGTGTGTGTGTGTGTGTGTGTGTGTGTGTGAGAGTGTGTGTGTGTGTGTGTGTGAGTGTGTGTGTGTGTGTGTGTGTGTGTGTGTGAGTGTGTGTGAGTGTGTGTGTGTGAGTGTGTGTGTGGGGGGGGGGGGGGGGCATTAAAAGGTACTGGTGAATTAGTGAATAGTTCCTAGACAGATATATTTTACGAGCATTTCTGTAGACTTTCGTGACACACGTATGTTTGTACATAATATTAAAGAAATATTAATATATGTTGTTTCGACGGTCCATAAGTGAGATAAAACATTCCTCCTCAATGTTGGTAGACACTCTCAGCTCTAATAGCTTGGTCAGTACTTCCCTTGGGTATTACTACGTCAACCAAAACCTCGGAGTCGTGTTTTATCGTCACTTTGCGTCTTCAGCGCAAGTCGTGTTGATCTTTCGTGTATATGGTATTTGAGATCATTGGATGTCATTGGGTGAGTGAGTGGTAGATGAGTTGGTAGGTAGGTGGGTTGGTTGTTGGGTGTTATTGGGTGAATAGGTTAGTGGTGGTTGGATGTTAGGTGGGTTGGTTGTTGGTTGTTACTGAGTGTGTGTGAGTGGTAGGTGGTTTGGTTGTTATTGTGTGAATTAGTTAGAGGTGGATGGATGGTAGGTGGATTGGTTGTTGGTTGTTATTTAGTTAGCGTGTAAGTTGAAGGTGGGTTCTTTCGCCTTGGCGTAAGTATGACACACAGGGTAGAGTAAGTGAGTTGGGCTTAATGCCGCTTTTTAACAGTATTCCAGTATATCACGGCGTGTCAGCTTAATGTGGGAGGAAAGCCCGAAGTGATGCAGGTCTCAGACGTTTACCACTTCGGTGAAACCCACGAGCACGGGTATGGTGCTGACAAACCTAGAAACATAATCGGGTGCTGACAAACCTAGAAACATAATCGGGGCGAACCTGAATTCGAACCCACAATGATAGTCTTCTGGCGTACCCAAGGGAAGAAAGTCCGCACAGCGAATCGCGGCGCCTTTGACGTCTGGAACACCCATGCCCCCCACACAGGTAGAAAGGACGAACACGTAGAGGAATTTTAATGTCATATTAACATCTCTGTAAGCGTATCACATTTATATTACTACTGTATACCACCCATGAAGATCCGGGTTAGAATAGGTCTTCAGCAACTCATGCTTGCCGTAAAAGGCGACTATGCTTCTCGTAAGATGCGACTAACGGGATCAGGTGGTAAGGCTCGCTGACTTGGTTGATGCATGTCATCGTATCCCAATTGCGTGGATCGATGCTCATGATGCCAATCACTGGATTTTCTGGTCCAGACTCGATTATTTACAGACCGCCGTCATAGAGCTGGAATATTGCTGAGTGCGGCGTTAAACAACAAACAATCCTTCAGACAATACTACTGTATTCATGTTTTTCGGCTGCTTGTTTTCGTGTTGTTTCTTTGCTTGTGTTACTTATTGTTATGTGGCTGCAATGTATAACACGTTCTCAGGATCACCGCAACAAGGACGCAATTGAGACACGACAGTCACACAATACCAGTGTACAAACTGTACAGTTATAAATAATGCAATCACTGACTCGAATGTGTTTTGTCGCTTTCAGTGACGCATTGGTGACACAATATTTCAAGTGAACAATTTATTTGCCTTTGCATGTGTTTATAACTGGTTCCACCGGTAGGGTAGGATACGTGCACCTTTTAGCGGACACCTAGTATCGTCACTTGTTGATAGTGGTTCATACACACATGTTCATTATATGACAGGTATCGTACAATCGATTCTGATTTGGGCAGATAATTCTTATTTATATGGAAAAGATTTTGTTGCTTTTATTTATTCGTAATGCAACTCATTTGTCTGCGTACATTCATATCAATTACAGCCCAACATTGCATTGAAAGGAAGTCATCGAACGATTCTCACAGGCTGGAAGTAACACATGACGTACATATTGAATTCTCTTCCTGCACACTAAAGCGTTCGCTCGTCACGCCGAAGACCCGGGTTCGATTCCCGACATGGGTACAATGTGTGAAGCCCATTTCTGGTGTCCCCCGCCGTGATATTGCTGGAATATTGCTAAAAGCGGCGTAAAACCATACTCACTCACTCACTCACTAACTCATCCTGCACACGGATATTCGTGTTGTAACCAGTCACGACTAACGTGCAAGAATCTTGTGACGCTGCAGATAGCAGGTTAATGAAAGCCTTATCCTGGGATTAAGCTCTTTAGTGTCGCCTTGTTAAGATAACAAACAAAAGGAACTAAATTTTACAGCTTATATAAACTGTTTACTGTCATTCAAACAACACAGACAAAAGTGTAAAGTCAGGAACAACAGGGACATGACGTGGTCCACGTGTGGTTCCGGTACTGTCAATATGCTGGCTCTCGTCCGATCCAGGAATCCGGTCCAGCAGGTACTTGTACAGTGGGCGCTGAAACACACAACGTACAGACACGCGAGTGAGTGAGGTTTGACACCGCCTTTCAAGATAGAGGGCACTACTATTGGGCTTCACATTATATTCAAATGTCCTGCCAGCTTCTAGCATTGGACACGAGTCATTGATAACATAATTAACAGACTGATACATACATATATTTTTGCAAATCTATTTTCATGAAATAGGAACAGACTGGGAGTGAAATAAGTAACATTGATGATGTTTCGAAAACAACAAATATGGTTGACAGATCCACTTGTAACTTTTAAAGTTTTCGTTCAAGGCATGGCAACATTTCAGGGACGAACTAGAACAGGCTTAATTCTATTCTTCTCGAACCCTTTGTGGGAACAAAAGTATTTTAAGAATCCACTTGCAACATGTAACCATATTGTTCATCATACAGTAACATCACGGAAGGAAAAGAACAGGATTCATTCTACTGTTCTTAATCCCTTTGTGCGATCAAAAAGCTATTGTGTCTCTTTATTGACGTCAGTATGCAACTGCTCATTATCCAAACGTTCACCCAATCGCGTCCTTAGCCCGCTCCTGTAGCTGTTTTAGCCAACAGGAACTCAGCAATTATCTTGACCATGTCGCGACACATGCGAGCCTTGTTGCGGTCAAAGAGACGTTTTGTTACATGAGAACATACATGTACTTTTTAAAATCTACTTACGTTTGCACGGCTTGATAAGACTATCTGGGAATATGCATCGCTTGTGTTTCAAGCTAAGAACCTGGTACTTGGGACACTGTTCCACGTGAGGTACATAGAAGCGACATTGTACATAAACCCCAGGGTCGTCGATGTCGCGCGCGATGATTTCAAAAGGTTTGGTACAGTTCACTAAGAGTCCGCTCAGTCCGTCAGCGGCGGAGACAGCGCCGACGGTCGCCATGATGAAAGCACACACGTGCAACACACACATGTCGGGTTAACATGAAAACATGTACAACCTGGATGTTCATCACACACACACACACACACACACACACACACACACACCTTTGGCGACATGTCTTATCAGCGGCTTTACGCGCTATTACATTATGTTTCCAGGTTAATTGCATTTAACGCGACGTTAAACCCCTTTTAACCTCACCTTATGTTTTTGTATGAAGATAATATAGACCCGCGGGGCTTCAACTATCATGCCGACACACATTGTTCTTATTGAACCTAACCATGAAATAGTTTATTTTATTTATTGTACCTACATGTTTCGGTATAACTTAGAGTACTTTATATATTGTTCCTAAATGTTTCGGTATAGTGAGTGAGTGAGTTTGATTTTAGCAATATTCCAGCAATATCACGGCGGGGGACAACAGAAAGGGTGTTTCGGTATAACTTAGAGGACTTTATAAATTGTACCAACATGTTTGCTATGAAATAGAGTAGTCTATCAACACGGTATCGGCAAAGTCGTATTCGTTTCTCAGTGACATATTGGGAGATATGACAAGGTACAGATAATATCATTGCAACTGATGCCATATCATTGCAATAATGTTTGAGTAACTGTGGCACTACTGAGACAGTGTGGTGATTATGTTTATCTTTTATAACGGCAGATGATCTGGCTGCACGATGTCGATCCAAACATGTCAATTATTTCAAGAATTTCTTGAGATTCATTTTTAGTGAAATCCAACCACAATCGTACTTTTTGAAAATGTTGTCCATTGTCTGGTTAGGCTCCCCATTCAGCGTCCTTCATGAAAACGCTGATAGATGGGGGATTGAGTAAATTGTGGTTTATATTTAATGGGCAGCCTTCGAGTATACTGGGACTAAACATGTCCTCAGCTCGGATAAACAGTTTGTTGTTTAACGCCGCACTCAGCAATATTCCAAATCAAATGTTTTCTGAAGTTTACATGTAGATTACATTTCCAGATTTGATGCTCAAATTATGTCTGATGCAATTCCCGTGTTGTTTCAGGTGACACTTGACTCGCCTTAGCATGTGTTTGTGACAGGTGTTTCCAGTGGGGAAGTATACTCCCTCCTTTCCGCGAACACCTGGTGTCATTACTCATGGATAGCGATTCATTAACACATGCTGATGATATTATCGGAATTTTAAAATGGATGTAAAATGAAACGCATATGCATTATGATTATGGAACGGGTTTTGCCGTTTATATTTAATCATTATCTTGGAATATAGGTTTTTGTGTGAGAGGAAAGCCAGCAGTGATGCAATTGTGAAGATATTCAAAGGTTGGCAAAATCCACTACCCAAGGATCATCATCGAAAGTCACTGGAATTGGAATCCCCGAATCCCCGTACTTGACTGCTATTACTACATAGCAAGACGAATATTGCCTGCATTGTATTCCAAGCTCTGGCAGGGTCTGTAGCGAAAGGAAGAACTTTTAATGATATAACGTATATTTGACAAAGGTATGATACAGCCTTTGAGAGATTTATCTTTACAGAAGAACGTTCGGCCGTATATGGTGTACATAAGATATCACATATGCAAATCTCTATTGTTAGAATGTCATTTTTAACCTATATACAGATTCAGATATAACTATATTATTAACAAATCTAATAATATTTTTTTTAATCTTTTGACAATTGAAACAATAGTTAGACCTAGAAATCTCTACGTAAATGAATCCAGTGTAAAATCAACAAACAACCATCAAATGGTATACAATCAACAATTGTATTTCAAAATTAACAAGGTTTACAAATCAATGCAAATTATTGCACAGCGATTAAAAAGACAGTACACAAGAGTGGCAGTACAATATTCATTGGCAGTATAAAAGTGAGAGCAGTGGAAATGACAATGACTAGAATAATAATCACTTCGCCGCAACAGTGGCCTAGGCTGAACACCAGGGTGAAAAGTTATCTTCACACGAAAGCCGTTCTTGATGTAATGTGAGATGAAATGTGAGATGAGACAGGCACGCTCCTGCTCCACTTTTATAGTCTCAATACTCCTCACTCCTCACTTGACATCCATCCACGCTATTCCGAAAACTTTACAGATACGTCGAGCATCTAAATATAATAACTTCACCACGACTGTTTACATTAAATAGAACTTCATTCCTGACAACTAATTATTGTCCAAATACAATACAATGAATCTCACCTGAATCTCAACAGAAACGATGTAATATATTTACAATCATTGTTTAACAGTAATTACACTGCCATATAACACACGAAACAGTCAAGGCATGACATACTAAGCTGACGTTACACACAGACCTCGAACGTCATGAAACTTGCATCATATGGTTCGATAATATACATACATATTAGGAACAATATGGAAAGGCATTTATTTGTTTGACATTCTGTGGCCTGAGAAGACGTGAGGTGTTTTGGTCAATCTATAGCGACAAACTGCCACCTAGATCCCTCTGTGAAACACACATTTGCGGCATTTACTGTGTTCCTTATAACCTCATATAAGGGTCCTAGGGTCTTCGAGGATCTAACACGGTTTGGTGTTGGGTGACTCACATTCCTTAAGCATTATATGGCTTATCAGTGGCTTTACGCCCTGCTACTTAAAGTATTCACATTAGTTTTTAAAAGATACTATAGGCCCCTGGGGCATCGATTATCATTGAGCCACACATTGTCCTCATTAACGCAAACCAAGAAACTAAGTAGTTCATATATTGTACCAATACGTACATGATTTGTTTGTTTGATGTTTAACGCCACACTCAGCAATATGACGGCGGTCTGTAAATAATCGACTCTGGACAAACCTATCGAGAGATTGATACCTTGAGCATCGATCCACGTAATTTGGACACGATGACATGCATCAACCAAATCAGCAAGCCTGATCACCCGATCCCGTTAGTCGCCTCTTGCGACAAGCAGAGTCGCCTTTTACGGCAAGCATTGGTCTCTGAAGACCTATTCTATCCCGGAATTGCACGGGTAACATGTACATGAAATATTACGCTTAAACTAAGATGGTTGTGAGGAACTATATTCTTTGAAAACACATCCTCCTGTCCCTATAAAGAATCACGTTTGGACTTGAGTCTCATCGAATAATAATCAGGATGGTGTAGGTTTGGGATTGGAATTGCTACATAATTGCGCCAGTATTGGAATAATTGTTACTATATATCATTATGTGCAAACATACATACTAACACACACACACACACACACACACACACACACACACACACACACACACACACACACACACACACACACACACACACACACAGGTCAACCAAACAGGTCAACCATTCCACCAAGGACTCTTGAGGTCCAAGCATGTATGTATTATCATAAGACATCTCTACATAAACCGTAGCCAATAGTGCGATTCTGACAATATCATGAGTATGTGGTAAGGTATTACTATCAAATGACCAGGCGTTTGCGAGACAGTGAGCCTATCCTGCCCCATCAGGGGCATCCGTTACAAACACGTCACGAAGGCAAGTCAGTTGTTCACCAGAAAAATAATGTAGTGACCTTGATCAAACAACTTTTGAGCAAGAGATTGCTTTGCTTGTTTGTTGTGGCTCTTAGACCTTTTCGTAGCCGGATCTTCACGGGTTTGAGCAAGAATGGTATGACACTCTTTGACATTTTTGCAGAAATAGCATGCTTGACTGTACCTCACAAGTTGGGAAATGAAGACAACAAAGGCTGGAATCAAAATGTTGGAAACAAAATCTTACTTTCTGAATATGTAATACGTTTTCTTTAGACTCTTCATTTACTACACAACACTACAGGAATATCATCGTGTAGTACTCCCAAGCTTCCACAGGTTATGTATCTAAACGAATATTTTAGGCTTTATTCTGAATGCTTGGTCTAAATGAAACAGGCATGACACAGTCCTGCTCACGTGCCACGCAATCAAAGGGAGACGATAACTTTTACAGAAGAATGTTGACCATAAATAAAATGTCCAATCTACATGTCCCTCGGTTTAAAAAAACATCAAGTACTCGACAAGCTACTATCGTTGGAAAGCCATTTATAACTCATTAACAAATTCATACACACCTGTATTTACAAATCTCATTCTTTACGAAACTTAAGGCCTGTGTGTGTTACCATATGTTTCGATTATATATAATAAAATATGGAAGAATTTTGTTTGCCATGTTATATACCTAGAAGACGCTTATTGTTTTGGACAATCGATGGTGACACACTGTCACCTAGCTTTAACTTTGTAAGCCCTTTTTGAAACCCTTATCAGTAGGTTAACGCGCTATTACTTTGGTTGTCAAATTTGTCTGAACGATAAGATATACCCACAGGGCCTATGCACCAGCAATTATTGAGACACTAATTGTACATATTTTACGCCAACCATGAAATAGATGTTTACCTTGGCTTCTATATGTGCTTGAAATATATTTCATATACACTCAACTATTTATTTACAGATATTTATTCTGAAATATATTGAGATATTTGATCGTAACTCGGTGGAGCGAAGGCTGATATTGCTCACAAAGAGGTCTTTGAAACACATAAGACTTGCGACACTGGAATTGTGAACTGCTGAGTGTTGATAAGAAGGGCGGGTGGGGTGGGGAGAAGAATGGTGGGCTTTGTAAATATTGCCTCAGTATATTTGGGTAATAGTTGTGCTGATCTAATGGAAGCTTTGCGAAACTATGGGCTTATTCTCTATCAGCGGGCCAATGTTGAATACCTGGCTACATCATGTTAAACTCAATATGTCCCACAACTGTTGTATTGTGGACTAGTTTGTTTAGAGGTAGCTCCGATCTAACCAAAATATTGTTCATGTCAACATATGCAGTATATGTGAATGTTACCTGTATGTAGTTCGATACTTGGATCAATATATACGTATTGATATGTGTGTACTAATATCTCAAGCTTAGTTCACAGGGTGTTACATGTTTTCTATCAGTATGATACATTTTGCTGTGATTTGGTCGGATCAGAATAATACGACTGGACAGAAAGTATACATTTTCA